CCCCCCCCCCCATCTATTGCTGATTTATTTTATTTCTCCCTGTACACAGGACCGCATCAATGCAGCATGGATGATTTTTCTCCTTGGGGTCACTATCATAAGGTAAGCCACGGCTGTTCTGGCTTTAGTTTGAACTTGTGATGAAAGGCTCACACAGAAAGGTCATCAGCAGATGTGATCAGAAGCCCTGCAGCAGATAGCCAGAGCCAGCGGATTCCTTTAATTTTCCATTTTTATGCTTTTCTTGCTCAGTCCTGCATCCCACCGGCGAGATGTATGATGTCTGCATGATGCCTCACCTCCTCCTATGTCAAAGTTGGGGATGCCGTGGAGAACAACGTGGTGCAAGAAAACAAGCGACGTGTTCATTTTCATGCATCCAGTCAGCAGACTGTTCAGGATCCACACGTAGCTGGAATAAAGGGTGGGAATTCAGGGCTGCTTTGGGGAGATTGCGGGGTCACTGCTGGTCTCATGGCTTAGGAAACTGCAGTTACTGCTCCCACAACAGGAAATAGACTGTGCCCCAGTGAGATACTGAACATAAACTGCTACATTAAATAAACAACTAAATAATAAAACAATGAATAAAATAATTAAATAGCTGTATGTATTAGCAGATTCTCTGAAATTCCCTTTGTATGACACATTATTCAGTAAATTTAAATCTCAATATAAAGATGAAGAATTTTCAAATTTAGATAAAATGGGTTATTTACCTAAAAAGCATCATTTGAGCCAAATAAGACTGTGAGAGAAATCTGGGGGATTGCAGGAAGAGGCATCTTCAATCTCATGCCAGGCCCCAGACTGCCTGGGTGATTTAAGGGTGACTCAGGGTAACCCACTGACCTGTAGGTCTTAACTGCTGACAGGCTTTTCGACAGGATGGGTGATCGACTGACTACATTACACTGCCCCCCCCCCCCACACACCATTCACACACACCCAAACACACACACACACACACACACATACGCACAAAAATACACATCTGAGAATAAACTTGAGATATTGTAACACACAACACGTTAAATACGTGTTTTTTTTAATGCTCGGGGGAATTTTGAAATGGTTCACAGGAACGCTACAATGTGTCAACGGGTTATTCTAAGCATCGAGGGATGTCGATAGATTAGGCCCAATCTCCAAGAGCTCCAATATCGGCAACATGCATGAGATCCCAGTGGAAAAAAGAGAATGCAGGATTAGAGGGAGTTGGGCCTCACCGCTTCTGTGACGGGGTCATCAGGGCAGAGACTTTGTCGTCGTGGTACCTCCGCATGGCAAAGCGGTCCAGGGCCTGGTCAGCGCTGGAAGAGAGGGAGCAGGGGTCAGTGTGGATAACATGGAAGCCATAAGGGATGGGGGAAGAGGGGGACGAAGAGGGGGCAGGGCTGAGAAAGAGAGAGGGCAGGATAGGCTAAGACAGACAGACTGGGAGTAGGAAGAAGATTTTAGGAGACATGAATTGAGGGGGCAGTAGAGGAAAGTTGTACCGAGTGACTATTCTCACCCAATCAGAGAAGACAATGGGAGGGGCATGTAAACACAGACACACCCACATGTTTGTTTATGCATCATCCAATCATTGCAGGGATTTCATATTGACTCATTGTATCACAATATACGCGGAAGGGAGCACACAAAAGGGCAGTGAGTAAAACTGCTGCTAAACAAATACACTCGCGGCTTCAGCTCCTCTTTCAACTTTCCCTACCCACAATCCCTTGTACACATGAATGGGTGTAGCAAGTGCTTAACAACTAGATGCCCCTGATTGTGAGGGTTAACACCTTAAAGTTAACATGAAGCCAGCTTGCACAAAAACAGAAAAAGAATAACTTGTATGACATCATAATTGCCTCAAATGCCATACTTCCTGCCACCCTGGACTGAGGGGTACCCCTCCTTTACATGCCGGCATTCACAGTGTGTGTTTTTCTCTACCGTCTCCCATAGCAACCCAATCCCAGACAAACAATGTCAGTTCAGTTCAAAGACTACCAAGTCACCTTTCCCTGACCTTAATACTATAATGGCCACCATTCAATCACTTTTATTTTTTTTCAGCATTCAGTAACTTTGTTTATTGTCTGTTGTCTAACTTACATGCGGTGCAATGTTAAGGTCAAGTTTTACTGCTGGAGATAGTGGAAACTGATTAAGCCGAATTTACCGGGTCGTTTTAGAGCTTTACTGGTGACAGGTTGTCTAGGGATTGACTAATCTGGTGCGAGGCAGACTTTCATTTTTAACCACAGCTAATAAGTACTTTGCAATCTTTGGTTTTTGAGAAGATAGAGGGATGCCAAAGACACCTCAGGGTTGGAGCTGGATCGACAAGCCCCCCGTTTGAAAATGGTGTAGCACACAGTGATTAATCATTAACTCTAAATTGCTTCATGCCTTCTAAATCCACCTTCTCTGTCGGGAACCCCGGTGTATCAGATGGTCACGGGTTTGATGCGTCACCAGGCACAAGGTAGAAGATGATACAAACTAGTCAATTCTTCCCCAAAACCCCGTTCTTCCCCCGATTCTTCCACGTCTCCCTGAAAACGCACCTGGCTGAAATGTTGGTGAAGTGCACATAGGATGAGATGATCACTCCAATTCTGCCCTTTCCACCCTGTGGGGAAGAGATAAGGGTTAGGGTTAGGGTTAGGCTTAGGCCACATTTGAATGGACAGTTAGGGTTAGGGTTAGGGTTAGGCTTAGGCCACATTTGAATGGACAGTTACCTGAACCGCCTGAATGTCTGTTTGGTTGCCCTTGTATTGAGTCAGCTGAAAGCCACCGGTCCACAGTGGTGCACTTTGATGGGGAATTTATTTAATTATTGAATCTATATTGTTCCTTATCACATTCCATGGATTTAAACCACTCTTTATCTTTTTAATAGTCTTCGGATGAAAATTACTTTCCAAGCAAAATCTGTTGTTGTTGTTTTTTGGGGTTTTTTTTTGTTTTTTTTTAAAAGAGTCTTTTAAGAGTTTTTAAGAATCTTTTGTATAATAAAACCTGTTTTCTGATTGTACTCACATAAATCTACTGAGATATTGTTTGCTTGTCTTTCTGCTTTTTGCTTTTCAGTATGTGACAATCATTGTAGATAATCTTTTATATCCACAGATATCCACAGGGCACATGAAGTCACAAGAAACACTGGAGCGATCGCTGCATCATTTCTGAGTGTCCCAGACTGGGGCCAAAAAAATACTCCTTCTGTGAACAGGATTTATCACACTGGGTATACTTCACGTCAAAAGATGGAAGGCAACATTTTAATGCTGTCTTTAGAAAAGGTGGAACCTTAATTAAATTATTTTTTTGTTATTAAATTATAAAGCTGATAACACACCAGGTTATAATAATTTCTAAAGAAATATTCTCAGTGTCCTCACAGTAACAGGAAGATGGACTTCACGCAGATATCAGTAACAGAGTGGTTTTTAATATCAGTCTCTCAATCAAACCATGAGCCTATGGGGACTAAGGTCTTGGGAAAATTGTGTTAGTGGAGACTGACTGCGGGGGGAACCTCACCCGGCAATGGATGACCACCACGTGCTGGGGGTTGGCATTGAGCCAGGTCTCCATGGCCTTACAGATGGTGCACATCTTGTCCAGTGGGGGGGCATGGAGGTCAGGCCAGCCCGTGTCCATGGTCTGAAATAACAGCAGGGGCCACAGAAATTCACAGGAGCTGGCAGAGCAGAGCTAAATGGCTAAACCCCTCCCCCCTTCCCTGGTGCCTGGGCCCCACCCTCCTCCGGATCACGGTGCTTTAAATGGAAACCCCCTTTATTGAGTGGCCGACACAATGTCCCCATGTCCTGCTGTGGTATTCAGCCACATGTCCACAACTTCAGCATGAGCTCCGCTAACAAGCCGAACACTTAATTATCCAGCCCACTGCTCCTGTATGAAAAGACGGGGAGCTGTACTATGCTTAAGCTACAAATTTCTTCTATTTATACAACTGGATATTCTTCTGATGTGCTTCTAGTCCAGCTCCCTGCTCAAAGATGCCGCAACAGGGCCTTGGGTAGCAGTAGATGTTTCTGGAAACCCCCACATTGCAATATAAGCTTCCTGTCAACTGACAGGACTGCCGCTGACCGGTTTGAAAAGAGGATGTGACGTTTCTCACATTCTCTTTTTCATTACAAACCTGTCAGTCATGCATAGGTACATGACAAATATTATAAAATCTTGTTCTCTATGAAATTTAGTGTCTGAAGACCACCTAAATCAGAAGTACATTAATATTTGGCAAAGACCAAAATGCCTCAGGACAGTAGACGGTATTATGTAATATGATAGATAGATAAATAGATAGATAGATAGATAGATAGATAGATAGATAGATAGATAGATAGAGAGTTGGGCTTCATTACCTTGGGGTTCATTTTGCTGAGTTCATATCTTTTTTCTGAAAGGTTGATGACCTTTGAGGGGCAAGAAAAGAGAAGGAATTATGCCCCTGACACAATCATGCTAGACACAACAACCTACTGGGGTGGGGGAGGGGGGGTTGCAAAAGCACGATAGCAGGTAGTGACCACACCCATTCACACTGAAAGAAGTTGAAGATCTTCATTCAGCTGATTCAGCATCACAAGCATCCATCTATCAATCCATCTTTTAACCACTTCTCCTAGTCAGGGTCATGGGTAAAAACCATCCAAGTGAGTAGCTAAAGACCACAACACAACTGAGCAGCACCTCTGTCGCTTTGAGGACGAGCCCTGCTTAAACCATAACCTGAAGGACGGTGGAGACAACAGCAGATGAAGGCGTCTGTTCCCAGTCAGTGTTTTTACATAAATGAAAAATGAGGATTTATCCACATGCAGCTGGTGTTTGTGTTGTCATGAGGATGATGCATGTAAAGCATGTGTGATGCCCTTTAATGAGGTTCAGCTGGCCCCCCTCAGCTAAAAGAACGGGGAGGTAAAGGGGGACAGCTGAGCTGAGGGGGAGGACTAGGACCAGGGGCAATTCCAGGATGTTTTTGATGGTGTGGGTATAAAAGAGGGCATAATTTATACAGAGGGGCCAGCCTTATCATTAGCCAAGGATATGTTCAGAATTGGTGATTGACAGGTGAGGGGGCCCCCCAGGGTCCAATCAGCTTTCAGCTGGGGCCAGTGTCTCTGTGGCCTTCCCTCCTTATATACCCCTTACTGGACGGGAAGGTTGGAGCAATATCCTTGATTCTAATTGGATATTTTTCCACCTCCAGGGGTCTAGTTTGGTTTTTCTGAGTGCCTCTTCATTTCTGGGGATCACTTTTGTGTTTTCTTCATTCTTAATTGGTGAAGATGCCATTTAATTTTCATTCAAGTGTTAAAAAAATTGTCCTCAGCCCCCACTGCCTCAGTGCCACTTGAGTCCTGTTCCGCCCCCCCGCCCCACTCAACAACCAGGCACAGTATAAAGGGAACTTGCGATCCACATTTCATCAGCCTGTTTGCAGGGAAGGGGGGGTGCATAATCCCCATTTGTGATGGCCGCAGGTGTAACTGTTTGAATTGTGTTGCTGATTTGATAATAAGCTGCCAGGGCTGTGTTTACCCACTAGCTGATCTGAGATCAGAATCTGCAGGAGAGGTCATTATGTAGGCCACATATAGCATATGGGATAATTCAGCAAGCCATAACACCTCGAAATGAGGCTTCCAGTTTCCATTCACACTCTGTGGACACAAAGGGGATTTACTACATGAACTGGGAACTGGCCTTCAAATCATTTTACCCTCTGATATTACTACACACAATTTTGTTCCTGTTTTTGCTGGGTGACGGTGTAAAAGGGATCTACGTCCATATTTTCTGATCTCACTGTGACACCGGTACTCCCCTTTGCCTGTTGTCTATAGTTTAACATTTGAAATCAGCATTATTGTATTGTTTAATGTAAAACAGAAACTTGCATCCCCATTTATGCTTTCTCTTTTTTGTAGTATTTTTTATTTTTTTGTCTGCACAGAATCTATTGATTCTGTTGATTCTGTCTATCATTTATTGATATCGTCTATTAATGTCTAAATATGTGTATTAATAAGCTACTGTTTACCTGCAAACTCTTTTGAGATTACTAAAGTATCTATCTATCTATCTATCTATCTATCTATCTATCTATCTATCTATCTATCTATCTATCTATCTATCTAATTTAGCCTGATAATTTCCTGCAGGTTGTACTGCAGTTCCCTAGTTCTGCCGGACGTAGCTGGGGGTTCCAGCCCTCACCAGGTAATTGTCTCCGTGTTTGGAGCGAAGCATGCGTAAGACATCCTGCAGGTTGCGCAGGTAGCTCTCCTCAGTGCAGGTGTGGGGGAAGGACACAGCGATGATGCGCTCCGTGATGTAGGTCAGGTCAAGCTCGTATCCCTCCTCCATCGCTGCACATGGGCCTCCCCGCCTGTACGGGAGGAGGAGATAAAGGGGAACATGTTGGGTTAGAGAGTCCTCAAAGCCTCACTTCACCTCAGATGTTTCAGCCCCTTTGTTAATGCACCTACATTCCACTCACCCCTCCCCCTCACATGTAGGATGGTGCCCTTTAAATGCCCCCCTCCCCCAACCTATATCCACACCTGAATTTAAAATAGTACATTCACATGTATAAGTGTGAAAATACACCCGGATAAACATGCTGCAGGCAGGAGTCTGCGATGTTGGCAGGTGTCTCTGGCTTCTGCAGGTGTCAGTTCACCTTTGGACTCCTGAGCTGCTGCAGCCAGCGCCTCCGTGTTTCCCTGCACGCCTCTCCCGGCGTCACACGAGCCCGGCGAAAAACAAGGGCGGCGACTGCCTGCCCCGAGCCTGGGGCCCCACCCACGGTACACCACTGTCGCTTGACCGGTCACGTTCCACCCAGTGTCGGCACAACGGGGGGGCCAGGGGGGAGCCACCCCTTCGGTGGCCACCCATCATACCTAAATGCACACCCCGAAACGGCACTGCTGCCCACCCATGAAGATCTTGGGCCTGGCCGTCATATTTGTTTTGGTTCTGATACCGGCTTCATTACCACCAGCAGTCACTGAAATCAACCAGGAATGGAAACACATTCGCAGGACACATGCTGAAGTATCAGTTGCCTAAACTCTGAAGCAGAAGTAAAAATGAACTTTAAGCAGAGTATTTGAACTGCAGTGCAAATGCCACCTGTTCACTGATAGCCACTGAGTATCTCAGAACTCAAGGCTGACTCAAGAGCTAGTGCCCTGTAACTCCCATTGCTGTTATGGGGTGAATTCACCCTTCATCGTGTCTGTCAGTCTTATTATCGACCCCATTGAGTGGTTCACTCGCTGGTGTCCTTTGACCCCAGAGGTGCCATGCGACCGACGGCTTTGTTGGCGTTTAGTGTCAGGAAGGAGCAGCTTGGTGAGTGAGAAAACCAGGGCAGACCTTGGAGCTGCATGCAAGTCTGCTTCCTTGATTGATGCTCTGTTAGGTTTGCCACCATGCAGACCGAGAGGTGCAAAAAAGAGGCCTTGGTCTGACCCCTTTAAACAGGATAATCCAAAGCCTTTTAGCCAGCGTTAGAGTTTGCTTTGAGGTCTGGAAAGTGCCTCGCATGATCCAAATCTCAGTGGCACTGCCTCACCATCATGTCCGCCTTCATTACATGGAAAAAGCTCATCATCAGGATCAACATATACAATGATGGGCAAATTATCTGACGCTGTTGGCAATGTCAGCATAGTGCTAATTTTGTTAGCGTCTAGTCATTCTGTCAAAGAGGACATCAGACAGTGTTTTGTTGTTGGTGTAATGTGAAATCCATCTGCCACTTCGTTGCTATTCCACCACAGCTCATCCGCACTGTAGCCAGTTGCATTTTCTTCCACCATTTTAAGTCAGAATTTAGAGTTGGGCTTTTTGTCTTTCCCTTTTGTTCTTTGCCTCTGACCATAACACCCACTAGAGCAGGGTTCGCTGACTTTTTTGAAACTGAGAGCTACTTCACGGGCACTGAGCCATACGAAGGGCTACCAGTTTGAAACACCCTCCTAAACTTACCTAAACTAACTTCATGTATAATAAACATGTTTTAAATGCTTTTTTTTAGATATTGTCATTTTCAAATCTATATAAATGCAAATGTGATTAAAGAAGAATAGCAACAGGATAAAATTAATGGTGTCCCCTGTACTAGAGTCTACCGCACCAATGTAATCAACGACCACTAGATCACAAATACTCCCATACAATCGCATTGATCTCACTTCCAATCAATGGATTATCCAATGGTACCGACAACCCTGTTTCATGAAGATGTAAAACTGAAAATGTTCTGAAATGTATTCCAAAAGGTCTTTATAAAATACTTCAAGATGTCTGAATAATACATACTCTGTACTACATGCATGGCCCCTAACAACAAGACTTTGGAATACAGAAAAACATGCATATCCAGTTCAGATCTTCTCTTACAGTTAAGAAGTTTACTTAGTCCCCCTCTTGTGAAGAAACTTTCTTATAATAATATATATTATGTGAAAAGTAACTGATGCCATAAAAAGCACAGAAGACTTTTAAACAGCTGAAATTGGAAATGATTAAGGAATGCGTGAGCTGTTCCAACAGGCAGTGTTACACTGATCAAGCAGAATTAAAATTCTGACCAAAGATATTTGGTTACAGGTTGCAACCTCAGGCTTAGTAGAAAGCAGGGCATTCCTTCCGAAAACGCCACAAAGAAAACAGCATTCTGTGACGGCTCCAAAGCTGACACAAAGCTTCTCAACTGGCACTGAAAAGAATGAGGAGTCCGGAAAGTTCCCCCGAATTCAGCAGAACAAGCTGAAACAGGCCAGTGGGCAGATGCCGGAGATTAGAGCTTCCAAACCCCTCGCCTGCAGGAACGTGTTTTTTTTTGTGTGTGTATGTGTGCGTCCAGGTATACCTTACCTGGTAGAGGGACCAAATGTCCCCACAATGTGATGAATACCCGTTTTTTTTTTTTACCTTATGGGGACGAGTTTCCTGGTCTCCATATGGGAAAACTCTATTACATTTACTCTATTATATATGAAATATATAATGAAGTGTGTGTGTGTGTGTGTGTGTATGTGTGAGTGTGACAGCCCCTCAGTGGATCTCAAACAGGGCGTCAGAATCAGCCGCCCCAGGCCTCATGCCTCCACCCAGGAACCTTGTTTACACAACAAGTGGAAGCTATGAATTTGGTCAGGGAAGGAGAATGATGGAAGCTGCCACAGGCCAGCATAGGGGCAGGTAAGCAGGTCAGGAACTGGGTTAAATCACCACATTGCAGCAGACAATATGTTTGCCCTGCTAACCCCCCAACCATCACCACCCCCGGAATGTTTGAGGTACTGGTCTGTGCATGCACAGTTCACTGTTTTGACCAGGGAGACATTGGACTGTGACACATGAACACCTGAGACCAATCAGATGCTTAACAACCGTGTTTACATGGGATTGTCTAGAACCATTAAATAGCCCTGAACCCGCCAGGGTTCCATAAGATCTCATTATTCTCATTATGATTAGCGAACATGGAGCCAAATGTAAAGGTGCTGTAGTTTCACAGCTGTGGAAAGAATCTCCCCTTGGCAAGAAGCACCAATCCCGGCAGACTATGTTGCGATCCATAAGGAATCCCAAAAATTAAATTTCACCTCTAATGGTGACCTTCTCTAACCTGTAACCCAAGCAGTGAAGCCAGGACCATAGTGAGAGGGGGACTGAGGATTTAACCAAACAAGAAAGTGAAATAGAAATTAAATGAAAGAGCGTGGGGTCAAAGTCACACCTCGCCTGGGTGTTGAGATACTATAGCACCCTGAAATTAAAATGTTTCAATATTAATAACTTATAACACTGACAGAACCCAAGTATATGGACAGCAGTCAGTAAGGCTGATGGGCAACAGGTGATAAGGTGGTTACAGACATGCTCATCTTACCTGAAGGCTTCTGGTACCACCTATACAAAATATCCTGCTGTTGGGCCCTTGAGTCGGGCTCCCAACATGAATTTCTCCAGCCGTATAAATGGTTGAAAAAAAAATCAGAGGCCCTCCCAGAACAAAACTTAACCAAATGGAAAAATAAAAACAGCAGGGGAATGGGGGGGCAGATAAAAGGGAATGAAGAAAGGCTACTGGGTAATGGAGACCAACTTTGAGGGGGGGGGGAGGAAGGATGACAAAAGCTTCTGAATATGAAGAATGAGATAGCAGCCGCTGTTTGAACGTGGTGAAAGCCACAATGTGTGCGTTTCGGACATATCACCTGAAGGATGACTCATTGGGGAAGCATTAGGTGGTCACATGGGTCACTGCACCCCCGCAAGCCTGAGAAGCTAAAATGATTATTAGCACATTTGCTAAACAACCAGCGAGCATGATAGAAAGAGGATGTCTGTGTGTATTGTTGTGTAACAGAACTCATAAGACCTTCTACCATGTCCATTATGAAACTGATACCATCTGACTGTGAGCATGGTTTTAATAACAAAAAGAATGAAAGTGGCAATTTCCATACTAGCATTAAAATGTTTCAATATTAATAACTTATAACTTCCCATGCTTATGGGAAAAATGGAAGAATTTAAAAAATTTTTATGACTATGTCTATCTGCCAGAGAAGCTGTCACTTCTCTGTTTATGAACACCAACAGTTTCTGTATTTAGATCAGGAATAGAAAGGTCTTCAGGGGTCATGTCTGTGGAGGTGAAGCAGTCCACAGTAAGGAGTCAGGTATGAAATATTCATTATATGATGTAACGTAGTACATAACGCTGGAGATACAGTGGAGGAGTCTACGATCCTGGCTGTTCGCTGCAGGCTGTGATTTGACTATGGCTCATCCAAGGCAATGACCACTGTGATCAGTTGTACGTACTGTAGATGTCACAGACCAAACAACTAGCGTGGTCATCCGCTGGAGCGGGGGTGGGGAACCTGTTCCATGGAGGGCCGGTGCGGGTGCGGGTTTTTGGGAAGACCTCTGAATCAGCCAATAATAAAACAGTGGTTCCCAACTCCAGTCCTGGGGACCCACTGTTAGTGGCTGATTGGGAGGCCATCCCAGACAGGCCTGGTTACAATGTGAGCAACCTACCAGGATCAGCAATCACCCAAGAAGTCATCAGTTATTTACAACATGCCTTTGAGGTCAACTGAGTTTGAGGCTAATTTGTTTTCACATCAGGGACCATGTGACCCTTTTGAGCATCACATTTTGTTCTGTGTTATCACTTGATAAATGCAATGGAAACCCCCACCCCAGCACGTCGGAGAGATGTGTGAATGACGCAAAGACTGGATTTGACCAACTGAAGGCATGATCAGCTGCCATGTTTGTTTGTCGTGTGACTCACAAAGAAATATTATGAAAAGTAAACAGCCTTAATGCACGTGGAAGATAACAAGCTGCTGCCTCCAGACCCTGCAAACGAGGGCCTTTGGAGCCTACAGAGGCTTTTAGTCTCTAAAGTATCTCGGCTGATTTATGCCGCTATTTCTAACCTCACTCACAGAGGGGCCACAATAAACACCAAAATCTGCATAATATCAGGCAACTGTCCTCAAGTGCGTCAACCCCAATTCGAGCACCACTTAAACTTTCCCAAAATCAACGACACACCATTCCCCCACAACGAGTCCATAAATGGCCCAAATCCATCGATGCGGTCTTACTGGCAGTGTCCAATTATGTGCAGTACAGAAGAATGCGTCCCAAAACGGATTAACATCTTCCCTCCCTCTTCCCTGCGATCTCCCCAGTTTAATGGATCACACATCCCGGATCTATAGCTCCCTCACGAGCTGGACAATTCTGCAAACCTTCCATGCCTACAATGCCCACTCCCCCCCCCCAACACACAAAGCCCCCTCTCCTCCACACCTGCCCTATCAGGACCTGAGCATTTCTCCTTGGCAAGGCCCCCCTTCGTCACCACTGGCGCTCCTGTCAGGCAGTGGGGCAGGCAGGAAAAATAAAAGGCGAGGAGAAGAGAGCCTCAGGAATGGAGATAAACACAGGCTATTACAGTGAGAAAATAAGGTGGAAAACGTGAAGGTCTGGAAAGGGTGTTAGACAGTGCTGCTTACATGTCATTACTGAGCCTCGTCTGGAGCTCAGCCTCCAGGTACAGAAAACCAGATGGCACCTCCCTTTCAGCAGCGTGTCTCTCCCTTCTCTCTGTCTACGCTTTCTTCCCCCCGAAGGTAGTTCTGGTAGCCCAATATGTAACACCAGCACTGTACCACCCAGCATCAGGCACCAACACACCCGGTCCGATTTTGTCTAAAAGCTGCTGGCTTGGGACTGAGGGAGAGTCACGGCAAAGAGTAAATTGTGAGAAAAAGCTTTTTTTTTCCCTGTGAGAGCGATTTAAATGTTTCCACTCTGAGCAATTTGACACAACACAGAGGACCCTTGGGGGGGGGGTAGAGGGGGTCCAAGAGAACTTGAGGGGGGGGGGGGTTGGTTGCAAACTCATATGCGGCCCCAAGGAACGAAAGCAAGAAAGAGACATGCTGCCCCAGAGCAAACCCCACTGTGTAAATAAAAAATCTGAGTGCTTACCTTTAACACAGTTCTGAATGGCTTTTCAATCTGTAATCCACCTGGCAAATTAACATGGGACAAAAAAAAACCTGTCAGCAGAAAGCAAACTGCACACAAAGTTGGAACAGGGAGATCTAGGTCGTCTGTGCTAGGGACTACTCTCTCACTCTCCCACTCTCTCACTCTCCCACTCTCTCTCCCTCTATCTCTCTCTCCCTCCTTCTCCCTACCTCTGAAAGAAACATGGAGTCACTCTCCCTGGACTAGAAAGTCATGTACTTTGCCCCCGGCTCCTAGCGGATGCTGTTGGTTGCATGGGAAGCAGCCGAGTGTAGAGAAGCCTGCTCTGTTCAGTGGAAGAGAGAGCGAGACAGAGAGAGAGAGAGAGAGAGAGAGAGAGATAAGGCAGTTTTCCCTCCAGTCGGATTTGCCACTGCTGCTACTACTACCGCCCTCCCCAGCCTCTTTTCCTGAAGCAGACAATCCTCCCACTGTGCGGCCGCCCAAGCTCGCCTGGGCCCCTCCCTCCCCCAGCCTCTCGTTACTGCTGGAGGTACGGGGGGGTGGGGGGCGTATGTCTATGAGTGCAGGAGGGGGGCGTGGATCAAGCAGACTGAAATAACAGGAAGGCAGGCCACTCCACACCGCAGGTTTATTCTGAGATTTTAAAATCTTCGCATCAACCTGCCCCCCTCCCCAACCCCTACACACCTCCCTCCACCCCCGCCCCCCCCAATCTCCCAATTCCCCAGGCTGCAGCCTGTAACATAGAGCCAGCTTCTGGATCCTTCACTTTGTTTTTCACGAACAAGCCTGCTATTGTGAACGGAGTAGCATTCCTCACCGTTCCACAAAATACTTACACCCCTATGCATGTCACATCATTTAAAAAAAAAAAAAAAACCCCACATCAAAAACACCAGAAAGTGAAACCAAGCAGAATCACTTCCTGGTGTGCTAGCACCTCCCAGCAGACCATGCTAAGGAAATAACCGGGAAGTTTGAAGGTGCCTTTGTTCCCCAGCACAAACACCCCAGACCTTGTTCTTTTGAGGTTGTTTACACAGTAAGCGCTGCTGTCATCAAAAATGATTTCAGGTTACTCCTAGTTAGATCAATATTCACGCTGACTGCAACACGAAGCTGTTTCACTAAAGTGTTCCTCAAAAGATGATGAGGTAAATTTCAAAGCTTATATTTAACTAAAGTAACTGACACTTTTATCCAAGGCAACTTACAATAGAGGGAAGGACTGCAATATTTTTTAATGTGTGGTCCTTGGCATTTGAACCCATAATTTTTGCATTGCTAGCGCAATGCCCTACTGGTTGGGCTACAAGAGCTAAAATAATAGCCCCAATTGAACAAAGCAAGGACACCAAAAAACCCTGATTTCAAAGCAAACATTTAATGAAATAATGGTGTTGGACAGGGTCTGGTGTCCAGTAACTATTCACAGTTTCATTTGATTTAAAATGAACAAGGTAGTATTGCTGGGTCAGACGTATTTTGTTGGGTAATGAAAAAGACGGAACAGGCAGAATAAGACAAAATAGGCCTCTAAATTGCCCATGGAATATGATTGTGCTTCTGAATGTATATATGAATGGAGCCAGGGGTATCCTAAGTTTGTGCCCTGTGCAGGGACAGGCTCCTAACCAGGATAAACGGTTAGAAGATGGATGGATAGATGGACAGACCAAATATTTGGGGATAAATAAAAGCTATTTTTAAATCATAAAAATAAGCTCTCACCTCTTGATTGGAAAAGAATTAAAAATCTAACTCTATTTCTAAGCACTGGAAACAACTGGAGTGGAAAATGAACCAGTTTGATGCACATTAGATCGTATCAGTGTCACGCCCCGCTCCGTCCGCTCCCGATGTGTGCCACGCCCACCTCGTTACCTCGCGTGATTCCCTGATTGTTCTTACCTGTGATTCGTTACCCTTAGCCTGTCTCTTGTATTTAGTCCGTGTCTAAGTCGGTGTACCCCAGATCTGTCATTGTAGTGTCATGCGTTGGTCCTGTTTCCTCGTCTGTCAGCCTACAATAAACCCCTTCTGTCCGCATTTACGGCTCCGATTGCCTGATTCCCGGCTCGCCTATTCCTGAAACGTGACAATCTAATCTGCCATGGTGCATTTACCTGAACAAGCTTTATATTTTCTTGTTTTAATTCAGATTTAGCTATGCTGGAAAACAATCAAAAACCCTATTTTTTTTAAATGGCTTTAATTGTTTGAATTTAGTCATTTGGCAATAAGTTTTGGTAAATTACTTTGTGCTGTTATTGCAGCATAAGAAAACATGAAAAGAAAAACAATTTTCAAACAAAGCTTAACTTGCATGGAATCTTAAGGGAAACATACAGTAAAATGAATACTAATTCAACAGTCCATTATGAATATTTGAATGTGACAGCCAAAATATGAATTTTTATGCAAAGTCATTAATTAGGAATCTTGTTTGCGCCTGGAAAAGTGTCCAAGGTTAATTTGCCCATTTTCTTTCCAGCGGGTTAATTTGTAAACAGCTGGATCGTGGTAGAATTTGAGTGCTTATGTCTTAATGTTTCAGACTTTATTTTGACATAAAAAAAAATGTATTTGAAGGTCCAAGCAATAACATTACTATTGGAATAGTACTAGAAACAATATAAGCGTTGCATATGACAATAGTGCACTGAAGTCGCGTAGTAATAATGTATTATGTAATGTGTTGGATAACTAGACCTATATGTACATGTTTAATATGTAAATGTGTATTACATGTGTGCAATGCTGAAATATCAAAGCCCATTTGAGAATAACATACTGGCTATTACTCAATATATGGTGTACTTCATGTTTTGGGGAAACAAAAACCCGTATTAAACCTTCATTTCAAAGTGACAAGTTCGGCATCTCGCAAGAAGCACAGCGACACATATCGATACGTACGCCGTCATCGACTGCAGAGCGGCAGCTGCAGTTATTGCTGCCACCTACTGATGAATCGAGCTATAGCCTTCTTTTCCCTCTTTAAGGGTTAAGCTGAAGAAACAGGAAAATACTTAAGATGTACGATATGAAGCAGGGCATTAATTTAAATGAAGGCTCAGAGTGGTGGAAGGTGGATAGATAGTATGAGTGATTTCGTTAGATGTTTTTACAAAATTTGTCAAAAAATTCTTCCATGACTAAGAAATCAATTCATTACGTAAAATTTTACTGAATTATTATTGAGTTTTGATCTTTTCAGTTAATTCTGGTTTAACTCTTGCTAGGTTGTTTGGTTGATAGATTTACAGTCACTGTAATACAGACTTGCATACTTTATTGCAGAGTAAAATAATGTGAAAAGAGAACAGGCCTATTAATTTTTTTTGTTCTGTGAATTTGTCAGGTGAACTAGATGACCATTCGTTTAGAGATTGTTTGCTAATTTCCTCTGAAGACTCCGCCAGACCTTCAGCAATTAGGATTTTAACTATATAATTAAGGCTTGACGTCTGTGAGCAAGCATTAAACACTCGCAATAAACTGTCTACCTGCACCTTTTTTTTTTTACAGGGGCATCCGATTTGTCTTGTGTATAGACAAAAACACACATGAAAGACAAACACAATGGTAAAATGACAGAAGCACTGTGGGTTTAATGCAAATAATGAATGATAATGAATGATACAAAATGCAAGAACTTTTAGTGCATACAAAAGTGAAAATTCTCCACTGTAATCAAAAGAAACTGCAGACATGCAGTACAATTCCCTTAAATACCCTCTTCCTTTGTAAGGGATTAAGCACTCAAAGCAATATAGAGTATTCTACTGTCCCAAGCATAAGCATCTTAAGTTGCATTATAAGCAGAAGATTATTATTTTTATCAGTAGTAGTAAATACAGGTATCCGTCGCATAACAGCCGATGTTCTTAGCAAATAATATAATATAAAAATAGAGGCACCTGAAAGCAGATGGACATTAAAGTTTGTCACTTAGTGTAACAGGTGCAGAAGCTGTATTTTGACCCACTGTCCCTATATAACTGGTAATACAGCATAAATACAGTAATGTATATGTGATGGATGACTATAACAAGCAGGTATGATAGATATAGTACCTCTATTGTACTATTTCACTACATAAAAAAAACTTACTGTACTGTACAATAATATTTTGCTGCAGCTTCAGGCACCATCTACTATCTCAGCTCCCATTGTTTGCCACCGTGTCATTCTTTTGATTTTTATAGTTCAATTCGTGTCTTATTTTTAAGTGAAATTCAAGTGCAATGTCTTTTTTATAATAATGTATTGTGATTTTATATTCACATTATTATTTTTTGTATTATATGTACATTTCAGTACTGTACTAAATGTCTTGCTTCTCTAACTATCACGATACGCCCAAATTGACTTGCATCTGGTGGTGAGATGTGGTTGCAAGCTGAGGGATACCTGTATTTCTTATCCACACACGAACCTACATCCTTTTCCCTATTTACCTCCCATTGCCCTGTTTAGTGTGTTAATGCTATTTTCCTAAAAGTAAAATTATACTGTATTACTTGTGTTAACCTCAAATTTATATTGCATGCTATTATGTATTAAAATAGAGTGTTGGAGCTGCAGGTGTAACTGCTGCTGAACACTGAGATGTGGTCCATACTGCCCCTACTGGAACAATCCCAAGACTGTGAAAGGGAGCCACTTTGTGATCCAGGAGCAGTGGACATATTGTAGGAGCTGCTGATCCCATTGCTGGACATGGAAGAAGCCTGGAGCATCATCACTCCACTGTTCTCCTCCACAAGACTGTTGTCCAAGGCTTCTTTGTAGGAAATCTTCAGCTTAGACTTAGGGCATGTCAGGTCCTTTGTGTGCTGCTTGATGTCTCGAAGCCTCTGTGCCTCTCTTGCATCCACCCAACCTTTCTGGATGGCATTTTCCAGACTTATCCTCTGACTGAGCTGAGGGTCCACCAATCCACCAGTGACATACTGGTACTCAATGAACCTCTGCCCTGCATCATAGGGCAGCCACATCTCTTTCATTGCCTCTGCTACTGACATCATTCTTTGGGTCTTCACATCCTCAAACCCAGCATAAGCTTTTTGAGCTGGATTCAACCTAGCAGCCATGTCTTCATTGATAAAGCCTTGGTAGACTGCATCTCGCAGTGAAAATCTTCTCCCAGTTGTGGGATTGATGATGCCTCCTGTACAGGCTTGAGCCTCCAGCAGACACTGAGCAGTGACTGAGTCAATTATTCCACGTTGCTGTGCGTCACTGATGCTCAACTTTTCAAGTGTTGCAGAATCAAATATGGCTCCAATAGGAGATTGCTCAGTCATACCATCAGCAGACTTAGAAAGTGCCATAGAGAGACTTGAAACATGTTTAGATGTAGTTGATGAAAATATCTGTGATTGGGTACTCCTTGTAATTCCCTCTGGAATACTACTAATGGAATCTGAAAACAGCCCAGAACCTGCCTTTCTAGTTAGCATATCAGCAAACTCTTTCAGTGTCA